TTGCTATTGCCTGTCCGATGACTATCCGCTGTTACTAAAACATTTCCTAATTTAAGATAGTGCTCCTTATCTACCCAGCCGAGATATACACATTTTGTTCTTTGATCGCACTGTTTACATACATTGATGTATCATTTAATACAAATATTCTTCCCCCCTTGTGGGATAACATTGGATAGTATTCTAAGAATGCCAGAATTTTTATGCAACTCTCAATAAAATTGTTTTAATCGGCTATATTTTCTTTGGAGTAAGCTTTTCTTAGGGGCATACGAAACCAAAAGTGCGAGTACATGTTCACGTGGTTTGGATTAAAAAACGAAAATTCGTACAAATAAAAAAAACATCCCTAATGTGTGTATGTATGTACATTCATATGAAAATACAAAAATTTAACCCCAATGTTCCTTAATTAAATACACAGAAATTGAATAGCACCCTCTGTTGTATATGTATGTATGAATGCACGTGTGTATTTATAAACATATGTACGACACCCCCATTTAAATTGTAGACGAAAAATTGTGACCATTACATTGCAATTGCATTTAAAGCGTATAAACCACCCCCACAATGCAAGCTGAATGCGCTATTCAATATACATAATTGGGGTATTCACAACGGTGTCCTAAGNTACGTGGTTTGGATTAAAAACGAAAATTCGCACAAATAAGAAAAACATCCCTAATGTGTGTATGTATGTACATTCATATGTAGGTACAAAAAAATAACCCCAGCTAGCCGGAAATATTCTTTAATTAAATACACAGAATTTGAATAGCGTCCTCTTTTGTATATGTATGTATGTATGCACGTGTGTATTTATAAACATATGTACAACACCCCCATTTAAATTGTAGACGAAAAATTGTGACCATTAAATTGCAATTGCATTTAAAGCGTAAAAACCACCCCCACAATGCAAGCTAAATGCGCTATTCAATATACATAATTGGGGTATTCACAACGGTGTCCTAAGTGTCGTATTGTTGTATGTCATAAACTTTAAAGGCCTAAAAATATATCAAGGGGGTTCGCAAAGTACCATCAAAGTCATATTATGTATTTTCGCAGTATTAAAAAATAGTTGGTTGTGGTTTCAAGTTCTCTAAACAGTTATTTAAGCTTTTAAAGTTTACGACATACAACAATACGACACTTAAGACACCATTGTGAATCCCTCAATTGTATGTAGGCATATCGTTTATGATATGCGTATGTATAGCATTAGGCACATATAAAAAATAACTGTGAACATTAAGAACAGAAAATCCCAAGCGTGTCAAATGGCANATTGTGAATCCCTCAATTGTATGTAGGCATATCGTTTATGACGTGCATATGTATAGCATTAGGCACATATAAGAAATAACTGTGAACATTAAGAACAGAAAATCCCAAGCGTGTCAAATCGCAGTCGGGTTCAATGTTAAAAACCTCAGGTATTCAAAAACCAATCGACCCTTTCGTCATTTGTCATCTCTATTGTTTGACGCTATCATTTAGCTATCGATAACTTTTAAAGCGAGATAGAGTAAAAGGGAAAGCGAGAATATATTTCCGGATTTTACATAACATATGTATGTATGTACGTATTTAAAAAAAGTTCCCTAAAAGAAACGCAAACATCCTAAAAATTCTTTGGCAAGTCCAAAATTCATTCCTCTTTTCCCGATGATTTATTAGGGCATTTGCTTATAATGAAATAAACCCGAAGTGACTATAAGCAGATTATAGGTGTGTATGTACCGTATGTATATTCAAAACAAAAGAAAAAACGTTCGAAATGAAGTGAGCCATACCAATTTTGAATTTATTTACTAAGCAAATGTTNCTCTTTTCCCGATTATTTATTAGGGCATTTGCTTATAATGAAATAAACCCGAAGTGACTATAAGCAGATTATAGGTATGTATGTACCGTATGTATATTCAAAACAAAAGAAAAAACGTTCGAAATGAAGTGAACCATACCAATTTTGAATTTATTTACTAAGCAAATGTTTGTTTTTGCGGCTTTTGCAAATTGACGAAGTCCTCTGCAAGAAGGGTACGTGTACATATATGGTATATGAGGCATGGACATATCTCTTTTCCCTAGAAGTAAACCTTTTCGTGTGGGCAACAATGATGTTTTTCAAATAAGGCAGATCGGAATATACGCTCTGTGGGAAGACAATAACTGTAATTATTGTACCATGTTCTCACTCTGAATTTGGTTTAATATTGAAAATGTAGATTCTACTTTGGACATATTTTTCTCTTTTCATAAAAAAATGGGACAAATGGACAGCGTTGAAAATTTTAATCTGATTATTGTGATGAATGCTTAGCCCAATGCTAGGATCTAGATTGATTTGCTCATTTTGGTTCGGGAGGTAAATTTGGACGCCACCTTGATTGGCCAATGTTAGAAAAATCGGTGGGATGCCTAAAAAAAATCAAGTCATATTTGCCTAATGCAAAAATTGGTACAAAACGATGCCAGATACTCGAATTCCACATTCAAGGATAAAATTATAAAAGGGTATTTTCAATACCTACCTGTCCCTTACGCACTAAAAAATGTAATGTGTTTTTACTCTAAAGAATCTTCTCTTTCTTTTGATACCCATACTGGTTCTTTAAGTATATTGCACTGAAATTTTTTAATCATTTTTTTTTAATTATTTGGCCCTTAGTTTGGAGAATATATTGATTCCTTTTTGTGCGCAAAATTGCCTGCCGCAAGGTATTTTATGTATATTGAGCTACACATTTATAAAAAAAATGTTAAATATTAAAGACATATAGCCAAAACCGGTCAACATAGAGGGTTTCTATTATTGCCACCAGTGTACAAATCCCGAAAATCTCGGGATTCTAGGAAAATAACCAAAGGCACCAAATTTTGGACAAGTGCCCAATCATGTGACAATGCCTTCTATAAAAACAAAAGAAATGTGAAAGAAATTTTCGTCTATCAAAGTTTGGAGAGGCACCTTCTCATCTGCCGTTGTATGACAAATCCATCGAAAACAAGTAAAGAAATATTAGTACAGGGGAAACCGAACTTTATATACCCGGCGCAAGTATTAACTACAGTTTTTTCAGCTTTGAGTAAAACTGTATGATAAGCGAAAGTATTTTTCTCGATGTCAAACAGTTTCGATAATATGCTGCGATATATTGAAATAATTGGACCAAGTTTGCTGAAATCGGTAAGGCGGTTATCGAATAGTACACTTCTGTAGTGATAAATGGGTGGTGCCACGCCCATTTAAGAAAAATCAATAANCGCTGGAAATCGGTAAGGCGGTTATCGAATAGTACACCTCTGTAGTGATAAATGGGTGGTGCCACGCCCATTTAAGAAAAATCAATAATCTTGTATCTTGTTAAGAGATTGATGTAAGTTGGCGTCTTTAGTTATTGAAACATTGGAGTTTTCATATTTCTGATATTTACCGTTATATGGTAAGTGGTAGTAATTTAATTTAATTTAGTGCGATTCCAAAAATTTTCTACATATTGATTTTTTGGTTGGCCAAGGTTGATAAATGTGCCGAGTGTGGTAGAAATTAATAAACCGGTTACCGAGATAAACATATGTAGGCGTAAGTGGGCGGTGCTACCAAAATTTTCCCTAAGTAACATTTTCTGCTAAGAAGTCATTGAATCAATTTTGAATAAATTAGCTTAAACTGTTACTAATTTATCGCAGTATTTCTGTAAATTGCCGTTATATAGGAGGTGGCCGTGGTTCTTGTCTGGTTTCAAAAGTTTTCAATGGGTTTCTTAGTGCGGCCCTAAGCTATGTTCTCACCCAGTTTGGCGGGGAGTGGTTAAGGGACTACAGAGATACAGCATTTCATCAGAAGTGGGCACAGCCACGTCCATTTTCCTAAAATTTCATAACTGTCTTATTTTATGCCAAAATTCTACTTCGTATACCAACTATCAACAATTTGGATTGTTTTTGCATATTTCGAAAATACCGTTATATGGAAGGTGGGCGTGGTTATTGTTCGATTTTACATATTTTCAATCCCAACCTACCTTGGAGAAAGGGCAACCTACTTAACAAATTTCGTTAACATATCTAGATTTTTTTCTGGAGTTATCGTGTACACGGATGGGCAGACAGACAGACAGACGAACGGACCGACAGACATGGCCTAGCCGATGTTACAAACAACCGTTATGCAGACAAAATTATAATACCCTTGTGCACAAGTGCGCTCGGGTATAAAAATTGCAATACTGCCACAATGACAGATTATATTTAGTATTACCAGAAAAATAACAAACAATCATTGCCTAGAATCCGATAAGTTGGAAAGGAAAAATTCTGGAATTTCCAGGAAGATGGCAACTTTGGGATTACGAAAAACGTGGCAAGTATTGACAGTACTGCCTCTTAGAGAGTTAACAGTCAGCGACATAGAGAAAGTGATGCTATAAATTTGTAGGTCTTGAAATTGATACCAAATTAAAATTAATAAATGGATGAACGATTTTATAAAATTTTGTGTGAAAAAAATAAGTTCACTGTTTTGTGATTTATTTAATTGGAGATTCTGAATACCATTTTCGCTTTTATTTAAAATAATAAGTTATTTAAACAACCCTTGCCGCTCATAAGCAACTCCATAAGCTCGCGAAGTCAATGAGAGCGTGAGCGCGTTCAAGCAATGAGGTCAAAAACAATTAAAAAAATAAGCGCATGCGCTTCACTCAAAACAATTTTGATAACAACCCAAAAGGAGGGCCACAACACACTACCCAAGTAAAAAAGCAGTTGTAAAGTGAGAGGCAAATGGAAATTCAACAAATTAACAGTGAAAATAGCGAGATACTTAAATTTGTGAAATGTGAAAAGATAAAAGAAAAAAGACAATTAGTTTAAATACTTAAAGTTTAAGCGCTTTTAACTATACCTTAATTAACCGAACGGAAAATGTGAAGCGCAATTACAGCGAAAAACGAAACTAGCAANCTAATTTGTGAAATGTGAAAAGATAAAAGAAAAAAGACAATTAGTTTAAATACTTAAAGTTTAAGCGCTTTTTAGCTACCTATACACTTATAACTTAATTAACCGAACGGAAAATGTGAAGCGCAATTACAGCGAAAAACGAAACTAGCAAACTAAAATCGACTGCAAAAGCAACAACTACGTCGACAGTGGCAAAAGTGTACAGTGGAGTACGTTGACACGGCGATAGTTTAGCACAAAAATAATTTCAATTACTTCACGTTAACAATAATACCCGCTCTTATGCAATCTATTTAACACAAGTAAAGTGCAAAGTACAAAAACACAATAATTTACAATAAAAAAGCACAATATTTGTAGAAAAAAAAAAGCAAACGAAAACGAAAACGAGCAATCACTCTTGCGTGCGTAGGAACGCTGTGTGCGCTTTACCAGGATACACACAGCGGGTACCACCCGAAATTTCAAAGCAAGCCAAAAAAAAAAAACTGCCATCAAAGCAAATTTCCGTTGGACTGCAGCCGACGACAACTCAGCGGAGGAGGCTCATCAGACATTCAGCAAACACAAGATTGCTGTTTTTATTAGCATTTTTAAATGTAAATAACGACTAACGAGTGCAAAAATTCGGCTTTAAGCAATGTGTAAGTGTTGTTGTTGGATACGTGCATTTTATTTTATTTTTGAAGGCAGTGGAATAGAAAGCACGCACCTATACAAACATATGTACATATACATATGTATTTATTTAGTCAGTCGCCAAATTGTGTAACATACTTTGAGGCGCTACACCCCACAACAATTTTCAGCTGACAGTTTCGGCATTCTCTAACGCTTTCCGCTTGGGGGCCCTAAAAAAGTTTCTAAGGAAACGACACACTTCCTGCACTTAACCTCCTTCTCAAGCACAACAGATGCACGCACGGTTTTGCATGTGCGATAGTGTATTTTTGTTTTTGTTGTTATCAGAGTGCATACGCAGACACATTTTCAGGTATTTGTATTTACATAAACATGTATAGGAAGGTGGGATTTAGTGCATTGCTGTGTTTGCAGCCGACACAAGTATAAGCATTGTTGCATGCAACTAATTAAGGTTTTTTGAGACAAAAAAAAGNCGTGGGTTTTAGTGCATTGTGTGTTTGCAGCAGACATAAGCATAAGCATTGTTGCATGCAACTAATTAAGGTTTTTTGAGACAAAAAAAAGTCTATAAAGTACTGTGCTCTATAGTAATTATGCTTGACAGAAGGGCAAACAAAAGCCACAAAAGGGGTGCGGTTGTTTCTCGCCGCGTTGTTATTATCCTCACTACATATACGTATGCTTTATGCCTCTCAAGGGGAGGTTTACACATGAAAAAATATTGTGAAAAATTTAATAAATATCGCTAACACCGCCTTAATAGGCCAGCTGCGAATAAAGAATATTTAAGTCATATCCTAGTAAGAGTGGCAGATGATGGTTCTAAACTATGCACTGCCAGTGGGTTCGCCGGGTACCAGTAGGACGCAGTGGATGAAGCTATAGACTACACAGAATACAGCAATCCGGACAGCGACCGGATGTCTTGTGATGTCACCACAACATCATCAACACATGACGAGGCGCTAATGCTAACCGTTAGGGAGCGCAACACAATGCTCTGAAAAAAATTCTTAGTAGGGAGCCGCGTGAGGGTAGTAGGGGCACCCGCACAGACACGTGCTTGCAGAGGAGACCTCGCCAAGGCATGTCAGAATGCATCTATACGAACTGATGGATGAAGTTCAGAGGTTCATAAAGTAATTTCTGGACCTGAAAGCATATCGACAGGCCTTGAGCGGCATTCAAAGGCAGTCCAGTCCTGTGAATGCCGTTCTGTAGCTCGTTTCTGTAACAGTTCTCTACCAGGTATGTCGAATTGAGATATGAATTCGCCGCCCTGTTCTCTACTGCTAATGAGTAGTAGAGAATGACGTATATTCTCTATCAGTAGAGAAATAATCGGTAGAGAAGAGTTACAGAAACGAGCTACTGGGCACATAACCACCTGACGTGGACGAGACAGATCTTCGTCTGCCTCGGGAGACTTGGACCACAATAGCCCAACTTTACTCTGGCTACTGCAGCAGGTTGAACTCGTACCCGAGTAGACTGCATGCAGATGTGCCCAATGAGTGCCGTAATGCGGAGAGACACCCCACGGCTCGAAACAGGGTACAACAACAATAACAACGAGGATATGGCTTTAAAGGCTATAGTCATCGCTTTTTAATCTAGCGCCGCAATGAACTTTTTTGTGACAAATTCTTATTTCTCGCGAACGAGAACATTCAATCCTCAGCAAGAAATGCAAAAGGAAAAACGAATAAACAATAAACAAAAGAACCGAAGATATTGAAGGCTGCGGAATCAGCTAATCTACGAGTACTCTCTTTCGAAGAAACAATACAATTTTGCAGTATCCAGTATTAGGAGCGACACAGACATAAACTCTACAGTGATAAGTTATCTCTGATAACAAACAACAGAAACACATAGGTAAAGATATCGACACCAGAGAGTTTGAATTTTTGCAAAGGCACAATGGAAGCTACTACCACAAAATGAACGGCATACAAAACAAGCATCCCGTACAAAACAAACCTTATTCGTCAGTCTTAATAATATGACCCTGAACAGTAATGGAAAATATGTATTATCTCGGCCACTATGCCGGGAACAGCGTAAAGGCGCGAGAAAACACTCTTAACGTAACAGAGGCAGTGCCGCTTTGACCTACCCTTCTTTCCTTACCGACTGTGCCATAAAGACAGTAGCAAGTCTCCGCAATCGATCAATAGGTATAGCGACCTCTGACTGCTGTAAAANTTCAGATTTAAACTATGGGAAAGTTTAAAGTCGTAATTAATAGAATTAAGCAGGTCACGCAAAGACAGTAGTAAGTCTCCGCAATCGATCAATAGGTATAGCGACCTCTGACTGCTGTAAAAATAGAGGCAAGAAAACAGATTCTTCGAAGGATCATACAAATAAACCACGGTCGGAAGTAGAAGAAGGTCAAAACGTACTGCAAGGAGACCTGAGGTACTTCAATCAAGTAACAAAAGTTCTATAGTAATAGCTAAGCAATGGCCAACATTTCGAAGGAAAGAGTTCGAGCGCGGAACTAGAATGAAGTTGTCGGAAGCAGAGAAAAGACTTCATAAAATAAAATAAACTCTCGTTGCTCAAAAGGAGGTCAAAAGCTTTCCAATAAATTTTGAAATAGCGTACAAAAATCATCGTTTGAAAGAACCAAATACTAGGCAAATAACAAAATTAAAAAAAATGAATCATCCATTACGGCATTACATATATTTTTTTAAGTGTACCCAATTGACATGTTCTAACAGTGTATTTTATTCTAAAATCACGTCTTTTGTTTTATTTTCTTTACACATTTTTGTTTTCATCACAATGACAGCTATTGTAACACACAAATGTTTAAACCACACAATAATGTGAAATCATTCCATTTGTATAAGCCCAGGCTATGCCCTTCAAGGATGTTATTTATGTGCATTGCAATGCGGCATATTTGGGTATTGCGATTTTGGTTTGTTCAAATGTCATATAGGCAGACTAACAATCAAGGGTGCTGTTGTGAAGTTTTGAGGTTTTTACAGACCGATATACAGTGGCGGGCGACTAAATAGGGACGCAACATTTTAACAAGTTTTGGCTATTTTTATTATGTCTAGTTAATGCCTATAATTTTTTTTATGAAAATATAGCCTACTATCTAACAAAAACCATGTAAGTCGGAATTTTAAACTTTGTACAAAAATTAAAAAGGTCGACAGATTTTCATAAAAATTTAAAACTTTTTAGTCAGACTAAATTTACTGTGATGAAAGTACAATTTTGAGGTAGCTGGGTCTTACAGCTGCTTTTTGGTATTTTTTTTTGCTGACAGTGTTGTGCAGTTTCATCCACATAAAAGAATTGTCAAACATAAATACTTTACGTAAGAATATCGATGTGGAGATACATATATTCGGACCTCTTGAAACCTTACCTATATACCGATAGAAAGAGGAAATTGCCGAGACGAGGAACAAATGCCACTAACAGCTCATCTATTAAGATTTTTTTTTGTTTTTAATGTAGATCTCGACTCAGGTTCCGGCGTACGATATGGTATATGTATATTGTTAAGATAAAAGGCCGATGGCCTTCCAACCCACACGCCGTTTATTATCAAATAGCATAGTTAGTACTCTCTTTCCATCTCGAGAAAGCTGGTCACAGAGGAAAAGATTATGGCTAAGCTTGTCAGAACTGCAGAAAATCGAGCACTAGAACAATACTCGCGAAAGGTTTTGAGCCATATATTCAGGAGAGATTGGCGGTCGCACCATCACAGTGTGTTAAGAGATAGCTCAGTAAAACTCAGGTTCGACCTCTTGTTCGTAATGAGCCAATGGTATACATCCAAGTGTATTTCTGTTTTTAAGAAAGCATAAAACTGTATGCCCTTGCCCTTTGTGTGACAACACCAAGACGCATGCCACAAATCGGAGTAAAAGCTCGGTATATAATAATTATTACTAAGAAGGCTTCTCATAAAAAACATCTGTCGTTCAGAGGCGGCCTAGATTTTACATCGATGGCTGAGTGGAAGATCGACCTATCTCAGAAAACTTTTCAAGAACGCCCTACTTCAGAATTTGATTGAAAAACGTTGAGCGTTGTTGAATAATTTTCTGAGATAGGACATTTTCGAACTGGCTTCCGAGATAGGTCGATCTTCCACTCAGCCATTGATATGCTTTCTATTTGTTTGAAAGCATGAAAATGCACAGCGAAAATTTGGAGCGACGTTCGCCTAAACACTTAGCAAGAAGGGTATACTTTTTTTGTTAATAATAATACGACACTTATCACAACTTGTGAAGCTCAAAAATATCCTTCAATATATTAGTTAAGGCATTGGACAATATCTCCTGAGTAATTCTAGTATAACCTCAACAATAACTTACAAATTATTCAAATTTTCGTCAAACTCTTTTTATTTATTTCCAGCTAAGACACCATCATTCGATAAAGATCGCGACTACATCGGCTTCGCCACATTGCCCGAACAAGTTCATAGGAAATCGGTGAAGCGTGGATTCGACTTTACGCTCATGGTAGTCGGCGAGTCCGGATTGGGCAAGTCAACGCTAATCAATAGCCTGTTCTTGGGTGATCTATACAAGACTCGAATTATACCAAATGTCGAAGAGCGACTCGAGAAGACGACACGTGTTGAAAAGAAAACCATGGATATAGAAGAGCGGGGAGTACGCTTGCGATTAACCGTTGTGGATACACCGGGTTTCGGTGATGGGATCAACTGTGAGGATAGCTGGCGTGTATGCACCGCCTACATCGATGAGCAGGTGAGGAAGTTGTCTTGGAAATGATTAAGTTTACGGAGGTTTTTCACGTTTTTTTGTTGTTTAATTTTGCAGTTTCGTCAATACTTTACAGACGAGAGTGGCCTGAATCGACGCAACATACAGGATAACCGCGTGCATTGTTGTTTGTATTTTGTGCCGCCATGGGGTCATAGGTGAGTCGCGCTATATTTACATATACTTCTGCTTATTTCAATGCTTACTCTCTTTTTTCCCCTACAGTCTGCGTCAAATGGATTTGGATCTCATACGACGACTCCACCGCAAAGTCAATATAGTGCTTGTCATCGCCAAGGCGGATTGTCTGACCAAAAATGAAGTGCGCAAGCTAAAGGAGCGCATACTGCAAGATTTGGAGGACAACAAAATACAATTATATCAATTCCCCGAATGTGATTCGGATGAAGATGATGATTTTAAGCAACAGGATCGCGATCTGAAGGCTTCAATACCTTTCGCTGTCGTCGGCAGCAATACGATATTGGAGATAGCGGGCAAGAAAGTGCGCGGGCGTCAATATCCTTGGGGCGTTGTAGATGTTGAAGATCCCGAACATAGCGATTTCAATAAGTTACGCACCTTCCTCATCTCCACACACATGCAAGATCTCAAGGACACAACACAGGATGTGCATTATGAGAATTTCCGTGCACAATGCATCTCACAGATATCGCAACATGCGCTGCGCGAGCGTGGCAAATTGAAGCGTGATTCAATTAGTTCGACCAATGGCTTTGATGCGGCTATTTCAGAGACAGATCGATTGCTGTTGCAGAAAGACGAAGAAATACGACGTATGCAAGATATGCTCACACAAATGCAAGAGAAGCTGAAGCAGACTCACTTGATGGAAATGAAGAAGAATGATAGTGTTATTGATGTTTAAGTGAGGGGCGAGGGTTTTGAGCTTTGAACATAAAGTCAGCTGATGAAGGAAAAGAGAAACTCATTGGCATGGTTTGAGTGAAGCTTTAATGCAGGCATACAATTTGAGAAACGAACACCTGTATTGATATGAATAACAAATACCGAGTTAAATAGTTTTTTCTCACAATTGGACCACATTTATGTAGAACACACATAGTAGATATTTCTTTGAAAATTAGCCTAGTGAGGCTGTTAGATAACACACAATCGAACAAATATTTTTTTGTCTAAATACATATATACCTACTTAAAAGTGATTTGATTCTAAAAGCTGAAAATTTTGCAAATCGGAAACAGAAAGATGTGCACTTCTCTGAAAACTGGAAAATTTTATAAACAAATGCTTTGAAAACTATCTGCGAACTGATCCCTTCAATCATGATTTGCACCAATTTAACTTTTGAAAAATTATTTCTAGTGCAGTTCCAGAAAAATTTTCATTTCCAGTAGGACTTACGAGTTATCATAACAAAATAATCAAAAACAAAGCAGAAACAACGATCAGCTGAAAAAGCATAATTTGAGTGCCGAAAGTATTTGGTAATTCAAACACACACAAATACTTATACAGACATTCCATGCCCACCATTTTGAAAAACAAAAAAAATATTTAGCATGAAATACTGGTACACGAAAACGGTATTTAAAAGCGTTAAATAACTACTTACTAATCAATTGCATATTAGAAGCGGTCATATTTAATAGCATTTTCGAAAATTAACTAAAAAGGAAATTAAAGTATTTCGCATAATAAAAGGTCAAATTGATTAGCGTTGCAAAGTGCACACATATGCGTACAGTTTTATTACAGAACGAAAATAGGGTTGGGCGATTAATCGACTATGGCTAAATAAAAAAATTATGATTTTTTTAATTCGACAATTAGAAAAGTTTGTAACATCTTTTCAAATTAGATTCTGATTATTTTTACATTATTTCGAAAAAAGGTTTTAATATTTTCAAATTTTCATACATTCAAGTAGCTTAAATTTTTGGTTTTTGGTTTTAGAATGCAGAAAGGAAAATTTAATAATTTTCATTTGCTCAACAAATTTTATAATTCTTGAAAAATCTTTTCACCTTATTTAGTTCAGATTTTTTTTATTACTAATTTGAAAAAAATTAATTTTTTTTTGGTTGTTCCAATTTTTGGCTTAATTAATGCAGAAAGGAAAATTAAATAATTTTTTTGGCAAAAAGAAAGTAGTTGTTTTTTAACGATTCCACAGATCGTTAGAGGATGCATATCTAAATACGAAAAACTGGCGACTTTTTAAGTGGTGGTCAATTCATTTTGAATACTGTATCGCCAGTTGCAGGGTTTTTAAAACTTTATTTGCTGAGCTCTGAGGGCTATGGAATCGCAGCAATCATGAAAACAAGCGTGGGCGTTTTGTTTAACCCGAACTATGACGAAACGTTAGTATTGATACATAGTGGTGAATTTCCAAAAGAATTTTGCTTTACCTCATAACAAAACCTTTTTACAGTAGGTTGCATTTTCGACTTTTTGTTTAAAAATCCAATATTAATACTACTTGCCATTTTATGGATGAAGCAACTTCAGATACATATAATCCTTGTCCTCAAATTTGGCAACAGATTTTTTCCTGGAATATTTTAACCCCTTAATTCCTACCAGAAGGGGCTTTAAAAATTAGATTTAAGGGGTTAAAATGCTAAGCATCGAATTTTATTATGAGTAGTGAAAACGGCAGTTTTCTGGGAGTTAAGGGGAAAGAGTAAATACCAGGGAACAAAAATAAGCGTTATTTTTATTTTTATTGGTTAAATTTAGTAGTTACTTTTTCGATTAATTTTAACCTTATAATAGGGCCTGCGTATTCATAACCAACCTTTTAACCTTTTAGGATATAAAAACTTAAAGCTTAAAAAAACGTTATAATTTGATCGAAACCCTAACTAAAAATAACGACCAAAAATTTATTTAAAAAAAGTAAAAATTAAATTTTAGCGTTTAAATTAAAAATTAATACCGCTACGGTACCCGGTAAATACAAAATGTTTCATGAAAAAAAATCGATTTTTTTTGCAAAAAACTTTAACCCTTTTTAAAATAAAGTGGCGAGATGGTATTGCTCTATCTTGCCACTTTTTTTAAAAGGGGTTAAAGTTTATTCCATGCTTTGCCTATCACTTATATCAGCGCTGAGTTCCGTCACGCGTATCAAGACACTTTTGTCCCATATTTCTGAAAGCTTGTAAAACCAATTTTGAATTGCACGACCCACTCCGTTGCTTATGCCAGGATTTTAACTCTCATTCCAGCACGTTTGATATATCAGATCCGCTTTTCAGCATTAAGAAAGCGATACTCTCCTCTCTCAATAAGTGAATTATTGACATAAATACATAAAATCAGCTGATGAATTTAGTTCTGTAGCTGAACAGTTTTAGATCTCGACACTTAACAAACTCCTGCCTATCGTGACTCGGCACAAAAATTTAAAATATTGGTTCCGTACGTCATGCGGACTGCGCCCCTCGTGCGGATGGGCGGGAATGGAGGGTAAAAATCGTTGGGATATTATTATAAAGTTTGCTAGAGGCCTTAAAATAACTGTCTTCAGGAGTAAAGAAAAACGTTGACCACATTTGTTTCCATGTATGTCTATTATTTAATATTTTTTAATACCTTTTAATAAATTTGAAAATCCAAACCGAAATTTTATTTTTTGAGATTTACGGTTTTTCAAATGTATGCTCTTCAGTAACTACCATAATCGATTAACGCTAAGCCCGAATGCGATTTTTTTTTCAAATTAATGAAATAATTAAAAAAAAAGAGTAATCACATCGCATTGTTTAAAAAATTCGAATATTAAATTGAAATACAAAGATATAAAAATCGAAAATTTTACGAAAATAAAAGCATACCAAAGCAGTGAGCGTATCAGCATTACAAAAATGTTTACAATTAAAAAATACAATACATAAACTTAAGAAAAAAAAAAAGCCGCTGAAAAGCGAGCAAAACTTATAAAAGATTACAGAAAAAATAATTAAGAATTTAAATCTAATTAAAATTGAGACACAATTAATTTTAAAGAAAAATTTTAAACCACTTCGCCCTCTTATGTAATTTTTTGTATTTATAGTCTTGCTAAAAGTTATCTAAGCGACTGCGCCGTAAAACCATTTACTTTATATACAACATACACACAATATGTATGTATGTAGCTACTCGACTAATCTACGACTACGAAATCGCTATACTATACTTTTGTATTATATTTTAATATTCAAAGCTATTAAAAGTTAAATTATAGCCACAAACATACACACACACAAAGACTATCGATTATCAGTTATTGCCAGTGTTGCCACAGACAATTTTTTTCCCTACCAAAATCCACCAAAACCTGCCAAATATTTTTTTGAGTTTTTAATATTTTTGTCAATGTCGTGTTTATTAACAATTTAGATAAGTTAGCATTTAGTAAAACTAAGACGCAGCTAGTACAATAAAAACAAATTAAATGTGTATAGTAATTCATTTTGCTGTACAGAGTTATGGGACCTAAGAAGATCTATTGTAATCCCTCCAGCCTCAGGCTATTCAAAAATCTAAGCACTTTTGACGGTGCCATATTCCAAATTTTATCTGGAGAAGACAATCGTTCTCCAAAGTGTATCAGTCTAAGATACATATTTCGTGGGCAGGCGCATCAAATACACTCTGGGGTTTCCTCCACCAGTCCACAAAACCTACAGTCCGTCTCTACAGAAAGCCTCATTTGATTCAAATGTTACCTTAACTCGCAGTGTGCTGTCAAGTAGCCAGTAAGAGTTCCAAATTCAAGCAGTCTGTCGGAGTTCCTCCTGGGAGGAGCTATGAATGCCCCTGGAATATGGCTTGGTACCAGCCATTGGTATAGACTTTTCTGGAATCTTGGTCCAAGTACGCCATAAAATATATATGTATGTTACCTTAACTCGCAGTGTGCTGTCAAGTAGCCAGTAAGAGTTCCAAATTCAAGCAGTCTGTCGGAGTTCCTCCTGGGAGGAGTTATGAATGCCCCTGGAATATGGCTTGGTACCAGCCCATTGGTAGACTTTTCTGGAATCTTGGTCCAAGTACGCCATAAAATATATATGTATGTACATCTTTGCCCAAGCCGTTATTCGAACGCACCGGTGAAATGTTCGTGAAAACAAGGTTGCTAAAATGTTTGGAGATACATATTTCCTATCTTTTGCAAATACTTAATAGTCGTTGTCACGAAACCTACCAAAACCCAATCTAGCCTACCAACCTACCAAATGGAAAACAACCTACCAGTTTTTGAAGGAAAAGCTGATGTGTGGCAACACTGGTTATTGCACAAAATGCAAACGATAAATTGCGTTGAATTCGCTTCGGTTCACTGCAACGTATTGGCAAATTGAAGCTTAACTAATTACTGACTTTCACTCTAAACTTATACGTACATACATACGTACATACATACTACTTACATAAATATTTACATGCATGCATACAAAGCTAAATTTCCTCTCATTCCTTAACAAACTTTTATGCGATAAGTTTGAATTGTTTTATAAGTAACTGACTCCTTTGTTTGGGAGGGAAATCCAAAATTTGGTGACCTGTTCTCCTTGCGGTTATATATATATTTTGTAAAAGAAAACTGTATACAAATATGAGTAAACAAATACTACACACGTACTATTATTTACATTTATGAAATATATTTTTATTATTATTATTATTATTGCATTGTATTATTATCCTATTTATATAAGAGCGATATGATTTAATTAGTATTTTAGAATTTTAAGATTAAAAGCTCATAATAAATTATTAATACATAATACTTACATAAAAAATAAGTGTTGGATTTTTTATTTAACTTTAATGGATTTGGGCAATAACCTTTTATCGCCCACCATTTTCAAAAGGGGCACAAATCAAAACTCACATCAGAAAATATTACTGCTTGTGGATCGTACAGATTCAACTCAATTAATACGAATACAGAGGTTTCCTGTTAGAGCATATAAGCGTGAGGTAAAAAATATTTGTATTAATTGGAGATAAATCCTACGAATTTATTTATGCAAAAAAAATCGGCCTCAATTTTTTTTGAGTTGTTCCCCTTTTGAAGATCTTGTGCGGTAAATTTATAAAAATGGCTAAGGAATCTAAGGGCGCGATACAATTGAATCCTCTAGACCAGAGGTTCCCAAACATTTTTTCTCGTATACCATATGAGACAATGGGAATCTTAGAGCTAAAATCCAAAGGCGACGTGAAGTAATCAGTCTTGACATCTAAGTTGACCTTTATTAGGTTACGCCGTCCACTATAAATTCCTTTCAAGACCGCTGCGTGCCCACAGTTGGCCTGCTCTCACAATTTTGATTCCCTCAATCTAAGGGCCCCTTTTGAGGCTGCACCTGTTACGAATACTAGTGGTGGCTTCAAATAAAAGATCATGTTCAGCCCTGCCTGCGTTGCGCTTCTCACGATCAAATACGGAGGCGCATATCAAAATCCGGACAAGGAAAATTATTAACATTTTACCACAATAATAGCACCATAACATTTTTTAGCAGTTTTGACTATTTTTTTGTTTATTTAGT